GTAACCTCATTCTAGAATAACCAAGCAACTTCATGCTCTATGCACCGAGCATCCATTACCAATAACAACTCAAGACATTCTGTGATTTCCACACACCTATGAAGCATATTATAATCTTTGTCAAAAAATTTCCTTTACTCGAGCCTCCCCAGTCTCAATCTTCGTAGGCCATAATGATTCACCAGTACGCCTCAAATTGGAACCAACATAGCACATAACCGCGCAATCAACTAATTAATAGCAGACTCCCCCACTTGGCTCGAAGCCATAGACCAAAACACACACAATAACTCGTAATGCATATACCCTATTGCTGCCATAATACCATAGTGAAATTTAAACTCAACCCTTCATACACTCGTGAAACACAAACCACCCGGTACTTTAAATCTTATGTAAATTTCGCATTCACTCTCGTAGCAGTTGAACCCCACTCTCTTAAGCGACTCAAATTTAAATTCCAATACATAAAATTTACTTGTAAATGAGATCTTCTAACAGACAATATAAGTATCACACAACTTTAGAACACTCCGCGGGAGATAACCCCACCTACTTTGCCTCAAACTAACATTTTTGTATACCTTCCACCGTCATAAACATTACGCAGTCACTTAATCTTCCTGAGTTTGAACTCATACCGTAACATGAAATTTACTTCACTCCCAACTAGGACACATGAAAAGATTCTTCACATACCCATAACTCGAGGCTATACCTCAAATCGAGATGGAAATCAAGTACCTGGTAGTTCTTCTATCCTCCAGTAGACCCTTCTCGTCATTTCCAAATCATATGAATACACCTCGCAGTCATAACATACCCATCACGTAGCTATCCAGTCATTACTCCCCTTAATAGGGACACAACAGAACATATAGATCTAGAAGCACGCGCTCACAAAATTAACAGCTCAAGGCTCGAGCTATAGGCAAAAATCCGGCCTCAAGTCTTCCAGACTAGCCCCACATCAACACACAGAGATCATATTTCCCCCCTTGATCGGGGAATCACAAGCCATCAATGCACATCGGATACTAAGCGCTCATGCGTGCATACGAACGCGTGGAAGGAATTCAAAGAGTTACTTTTCAAGCTGAATCAAGGACACACGATAAGAATTCAAGAATGTGAAGTTTTTCCTAAAGGTTCTGCAGCCTCCCGAGGATAAATACAGACGCCTCCGTACCGATCCGCAAGACTCTACTAAACCTACTCATGACTCGTGAGACCTATGTAACCTAGGCTCTGATACCAACTTGTCACGACCCAAAATCGACTTGGTCGTGATGGCGCCTATCGTGAAACTAGGCTAGCCGACACAACTCTCGAATCAATCATTTTCTAATAAAAGTTTTTTTTATATCATTTATAAATAATAATTCTCATAATAAAATTTAAAAGAAAAGTGTGGAATAATTACATAAGCCCAACATCGGGGTGTCACTAGCCATGAGCATCTACCAAGGTCTGAATACAACAAGAGTCTACAAATGTACTAAATATAGTAATCAAAAATGAGAGGAAGGAAAGCAATGATGCGAACGTCATGCAGCCACCTTGTTAACTCCGACGACACCGCCTCTGAGCAATCAACACCCGCTACAAGGTTCCGAAATATCTGAATCTGCACACGAGGTGCAGGGAGTAATGTGAGTACTCCAAGCCAGTAAGTAATAAGAGTAAATAAAGACTGAGCAGTAGGAAGCGAGGAATCCACATTTATGATAAACTCAATAGGCACAACATGCTTTCAAATTAGAATACGAGTCAATCATCTCATTTAAAATCTAGTTTTTTGTAAAAATCATTTAAAAATGCTTTCCAACAGTTTTAGTAGGGATTCAATATCATTTATAATAAAAGAGATGAAAACCATAATCGGCACCTTAGGTAAAAATATAGTTCGTAAACAGCCCCTCGGGCAAAACAGGAATCATAAACACCTCATAACATAAAAATATTAGTGGAATAACAAAGCCAAATCAGTGATTAAATACCGAATATCTCATAAAAACTCCAGCTTAAATGAAAGTTGTTTAAAAATATTTGTGAAACATTTTCAACAGAGACTCAGTATAAAGAGGAGTGAAAACAACAATTACATCAAAACAAGCTCCTCAGGCAAAGCATCACTCATATATATGTATACAGCCCCTCAGGCAAGCCTCTCAGTCCCTCGAGACTCAACTCTTATCAGTCGGCGTTCACACTCAGTACTCACACTCAATAAGTACCATATAGTAATTGTTGCGGTATGCAACCCGATCCATATATCGTTGCGGTGTGCAACCCGATCCATATATCGTTACGACGTGCAACCCGATCCATATATATATATATACAGTCGATTGCACTCACTGGGGGTATGCAGACTCCGGAGGGCTCCTACAGCTGAAGCGCTATATCGTTGCGGCATGCAGCCCGATTCAACATATTGCTGCGGCATGCAGCCCGATCCATAGATATATAATCCTCACAACCAGGCCCTTGGCCTTTCTCAGTCATTAACCTCACAATCAGACCCTCGATCTATCTCAGTCATCAACCTCACAATCAGACCCTCGGTCTATTTCAGTCATCAACCTCACGATCACTCGGACCATCAATAAAATAGGGAACTCAGCCCAAATAGTTTTCACATTTTAAGAAGTAAAGTGATAAAACCAGATTTAAACAATAACAGGTAAAACATGACTGAGGATATGCTTTCAAAATAAATAGAATGAGGAAAAATAGTGAAAATGCCCCTAAGGGTCTCAACAGGTCGGCACAAGGCCCCAAACATGGCATACATCCCAAAATATAATATCAATCTCTAAAATATGGAATATTATAAGATTTCAAATCAAATACGCGACTTAACAGTCGTACGGGACGGACCAAGTCACAATCCCCAATGGTGCACGACTCCACGCTCGTCATCTAGTGTGCGTGTCACCTCAAAATAGCATAACAATATGAAATCTGGGGTTTCAAACCCTCAAGACAACATTTACAATCAATATTTACCTCGATCCGGTTCAAACTCTAGCACGCTATGCCTTTGCCCTCATGAATCGACCTCCGGATCCTCCAAATCTAGCCACAATCAGTACATAACTATTAAAAGATGCTAAGGGAACAAAGCCCACTCGAAAATATCCAATTCATATCAAAAATCCCGAAATTGCTCAAACCCGGCCCCGGGCCCACATCTCGGAATCCGATAAAAGTCACATCAATAAAATTCTCATCCTCTCATGAGTCTATACATACCAAGAACATCAAAATCGGACCTCAATTGCCCCTTCAAATCCCCAATTTACAGTCTCCAAATTCAAGCCCTAATTCCTCAATTTAGGCTTAATTTCCATGATTAATTAGGTAGATTTCACACAAGAATCGAGTATTGAGTTCAAAAATCTTACCTCCGGGTGTTATATCTTGAATCCCTCTTCAAATCCTCTCAAAAAGCTCCAAAATCTCCAAAATGATGAAAGTTAACCCCAAAATCGCAAACAATGGCTATTTAAACATTCTGCCCAAGCATCAAAACCTTATTCGCGAACGCGGGATAACTATAGCGTTCGAACACCAGCCATCAAAAATGCTCTATGCGTTCGCGGCACCAGCCCCGCGAACGCAATACACATTGGATATAGAGCTATGTGAACGCGTCCCAAGACTCGCGAACGTGATGAAGAAAGGTCCTCCAGCCTAGCTCCTAGCCCGGCTCTATGCGAACGCGATATGCCATGCGCGAACGCGAAGGAGTCCTCCCCTAACACTATACGTACGCGTGACACACTTCGCGATCGCGAAGAGAAATTTGCTGCTTCCATGCGAATACAGTATGCGTTCGCGACACGTGACTCGCAAACGCGATGAAGAACTGAGGCATAGATATCAGCAGAACGCAGCAGTGAAAATGAAGGAAAAATAGCCCGGAATCAATTCGAAAACGTGCCTGAGCCCCTCAGGACCACAATCAAACATGCCAACATATTCCATAACCTCATTCGAACTTGTTCCAAACTTCGGAACACTCAAAACAATATCAAAATACCAAAATCGCATCAGATTCAAGACTAAGAATTCCAAGAACTTCCAAATTACGCTTTTGATCAAAAACCCAACCAAACCACGTTCGAATGACCTGAAATTTTGCACACACGTAACAAATGATACAACAGAGCTACTGCAGCTTCCGGAATTCCATTTCGACCCCTATATAAAAATCTCACCTATCAACCGGAAAATGCTAAAATCTCAATTTCGCCAATTCAAGCCTAAACCTTCCACGGACTTCCAAAATGCATTTCGATCACGCTCCTAATTCCCAAATCACCTAACAGAACTAATCAAATCAAAAAAAATTTGATCCAAGATCATATACTAACAAGTCAAATCTTGGTCAAACTTTTCAAATTTCAAGCTTCAAACTAAGAACTGTTCTTCCAAATTCATTTCGATTACCCTGAAAACCAAAACCAACGATTTACATAAGTTATAATGCATCACACAGAGCAAGTCATGCCCGAGAACTAGCGAGCAAAGTACAAAAGTTCAAAACGACCGGTCGAGTCATTACACAACAAAAATGATGATGAAGAAGAAGAAGAAAGAAAGAAAGAAATGAGAGATACAGAGATCGTTTAGAAGAAGAGCTTAATTCATGTCATTACAAGGAGATGGTCCCCTCTTATACAGTATTAACCACCTTCTAACCAACTAATACAACATTTACACTTTAGTCCTCTAAGTAGATACTTAGTATACTTCTAGCTCACATAAAAATACTCCCCTTAAAGATGGGGGTTGAAACACATTCAGCACCCCAAACTTGGACAAGAGAAAGTGATGTTGAGAATACCCTAATCCTTTGGTCATGAGATCAGCTAACTGCAAATTGGTGGAAATTTATTGTGGTGCCAACTGCCCATTCTTGATCTTTTCTCTCACAAAGTGACAATCGATCTTAATATGTTTAGTACGTTCATGGAATATAGGATTAACAGTTATTTGTAGAGCTGCTTTACTATCACAATGCAGGACACTGGCTGCTGAACCTGGACCTGTAGTTCCTTAAGCAATCCTAGGAACCATGTGATTTCTGCAGTAGCTGTTGCTAAACTCATGTACTCAGCTTCTGCAAAGCTTCGACTGATAGTCTGTTGCTTCTTGGACTTCCATGAGAGCAAAGAATTCCCCAATTTGATAACATACCCAGTGACAGATCTTTTAGTATTAGGACAAGAAGCCCAGTCTGAATCACAATAGGCAGACAATGTATCAATAGGTCCTGTTTCAAGCAAAATCCCAAGGCGTGGTGCTGCTTTTACATATCTCACTACTCTCAGTGCCGCATCCCAATGAGATTGCTTTGGCTGCTGCATAAACTAACTGAGTACCTGCACAGCAAAACTCAGGTTTGGCCTGGTGATGGTCAGGTAAAGTAGTTTACCAACCAATTTTTGATAGCTCCCTATGTACTCAAGTTCTGCATATCTATTTACCCCTACATGCTTATCATACTCAATAGTGGTCAGCTTCTTATTGAGCTCTATTGGAGTGGAGATGGATTTAGCTCCTGCAAGTCCAACTTCTAATATCAACTGGAGTGCATATTTTCTTTGTGTAAGTATGATCCCCTTTTTTGATCTCAAAACTTCAATGCCAAGAAAGTACCTTAGCTCCCCTAGGTCTTCAACCTTAAAAGAGTTCTGTAATGTCTGCTTGGCTTCCTTTATCAGCTCTGCACTACTTCCAGTAATAAGTAAGTCATCCACATATACTAAGATAACAACAATGTCTAATGTTGTGTTCTTAGTAAAGAGTGAATGATCAAAAGCACTCTGATGATACCCTGCATTTACCAAAGCTTCAGTCAACTTGATATTCTAATGTCTTGAAGCCTGCTTAAGACCATATAGTGATTTAAGTAGTTTGTAGACCTTATACTCCCCTTGTCTCTGGAAACCTTGTGGCAGTTCCATGTAGACATCTTCATAGAGATCCCCTTGCAAAAAAGCATTATTCACATCCATTTGAAAAAGATCCCAGCCTTTAGAGGTTGCTATGCTAATGATTGTTCTAACAGTAACCATTTTTGCCACTGGAGAAAAAGTCTCATGATAGTCCAACCCTTCTTGCTGTGTATAACCCTTTACTACTAATCTAGCCTTGTACCTTTCTATTTCCCCATTTACTTTATACTTTATGTTAAACACCCACTTGGATCCTATATCCTTCTTTCCTGCAGGCAGATCAACAATGCTCTATGTTGCATTATCTTCAAGAGCCTTGATCTCTTGTGACATAGCTTCTACCCAGTTTTGGTCCTGACATGCTTTCTTAAAGCTTTTTGGTTCAACTGCTGCAGAGAACACTCCCAAGTAAGCTTGATAATGTGTTGACAAATGAGAATATGAGATGCTGTTGGAAATGCAATGGGGATGTTTTCGAGTGTTTGAGCTTGTAACATAATCTTTCAGCCATATGGAGGGCCTTGTAGTCCTGCTAGATTTCTGACACTAGTTATTTCAGTAGCCACATGTTCAGTGAGTGATTGGCTTGGAGTTGGATCTATGCCTGGTTGCACATCGATTGTCTCTGTGGGATCAATAGTGTTAACTGAGTCCACTGCATCTTCAATTGAATCCAGTGTCTGTTGTAGCTGTTGGTTCCATGACTAGTGACTGGGCTGCTTCAACTTGACCATGTGTTGTGGAGGAGTTTGATTCCTCAGTGGTGTTCTGAACCTCACTAGAAAAACTCTGCAGTGATTGTTCAGGTAAAGAATTATTTGGCATAAAAGGCTCACATGGAAACACATCTTCAGTGATTTGAGCTCCTTCCTTGAAAGGAAACACTTATTCTCTAAATGACACATTTCTACTGATGAACACTTTTCTAGCATCCAAGTCAAACAATCTGTACCCCTTCTGTGTCTCAGAGTACCCTATAAGAACCGACTTTCTTGCTCTTGGACTGAATTTGTCACCACCTGATAAGTTGCTTGTAAAACACAAACAACAAAACACCCTTAGGTTCTCTATCTTTGTTGGTTTGTTATGCAGCATTTCATATGGACATTTCCCTTGCAACGCTCTTGTGGGCAGTTTATTAATCAAGTATGCTGATGTCCTCATACAATCACCCAAGAATCTCATTGGCACTGAGCTTTGAAATATTAGTGCCCTTGTAACTTCTAGGATATGTCTGTGTTTCCTCTCCACTGTGTTATTCTTTTGAGGTGTATATTGACAGCTACTCTGATGTATAATTCCTAGAGATGCTAGAAACTCATTGCATTGAGAATTTAAAAATTCACTACCATTATCAGACCTCAACACTTTCACATTAACACCAAACTGATTTTTTATCATAACAAGAAAGTTCTTTATTACAACTAGTACTTCACACTTTGATTGAATAAAGCATACCCAGGTATATCTACTGTAATCATCCACAATGGTAACAAAATAGTATTTTCTATCATATGTGGGTACCTTATGAGGTCCCCAAACATCTAGGTGGATGAGTTGAAAGGAACACTCTGAGCTAGTATTACTTGAAGGAAACTCTAACCTACACTGCCTAGATAATGGACACACATTATAATTTTCTTGCACCTGCATATCCACTTTATTCCTCAATTCTGGGATATGCTGCATTGACTTCAGAGATGCATGGCCTAATCTCAGGTGCCAGAGTTTACTTTTAGCTCCTTTATTCACCAATAAACCTGCTATAACTACTGTTATGTTCTCCTTCAGCGAGTATAATCATTGTGCTCTCTACCAATCCCCATCACCCTGCCACTATAAAGATCCTGAAACATACAAAAAACAGGAAAGAATGTGACTGAGCAACTGAGATCTTTGGTGAGCTTTGACACAGACAACAGATTGAATTTAAAATCTAGTACATATAAGACATTTTTAACTGTTTTATTTCCCAGTATAGATGTTTCCCCAGTGTGAGTTATTTGTTCCTTATTTCCTGTGGGCAATTGCACTTCACTCCTTCCTTGATCATCAGTTCCTCTCATATTACTCTGAATATCCTTAGTATATGTGACATGATGAGTTGCTCCTGTATCTATTACCCAATCAAAATCACACATACATGCATTTGCTAATAAGAAAATTATACTTGTCATGTTAGTAGAGCATTCAGGTGTTGCTGGTTTTGACAAAAGTTGAACAAGCTGCTTGTACTGTTCTTCAGTGAAGAATTGTCCATTCCCCTGCACCTGAACAACTGCTGCCTTATTTTTCTCATTGCTCACATTCACATTATTGGTATAGACCTTTCTTCATCCAGTCTGATTTTTCCTCTTGCTCTTGAAATCAACTGGATAGCCAATTATCTTAAAACAATTCTCCTTAAGGTTACCTTTGTATCCACAATGCTCACAAATGATTCCTGGCCTTTTACCTCTAAAATCTGGACCTTTTCCTGCTAACATAGTAAGTGGTTCCTTATGTGTATCAACCACTCCTAGGGCTCTTTGGTTTTCTTCCTGAGTAACTATTTCATAAGCTTCATTAATTGTCACAACAGGCCTTTTTGCTAGTACATTACTCCTTATGTTACTGTAAGTTTCATTTAATCCCATAAGAAACTGCACTACATGTTGTGATCTTAAATGTTCAATTGAATGTCTAGCCTCCCCACAGTCACATGAAGATAGGGGCACCAACACATCTAATTCGTCCCATAAATCCTTCATTTTAGAAAATACGAAGTTACAGAGTCAGCACCTTGTCTCAATGTCGCTATAGTTGTCCAAATATGATAGATTCTAGTTAGATCTGATCTATCAAACCTCTCCTGGAAATCACTCCATACCTTTCTAGCATTTGAAGCATAGACAATGCTTGGCATTAGCTCATTTGATACAGTACTCCCGGTCCACGACAAAACTATTGCATTGCATTTTTCCCATTGCTCTGCTAATTCGCCTCTATATGTGCTCTTCACATAGGTTTCATCTACAAACCCTAGTTTACTCTTTTCCCGAAGTGCCAATTTCATCGCGCAGCTCCACAATGCATAATTGTCTTGCCATGTGAGCTTGAGCGATATTAGAACAAGTCTAGGAGCATTTTAAGGTTGCAAAAACAATAGATGATTATGATCCAGTGAAGCAACTTCATTTCCGGCCATGGCTAAACAGATCGGAGTTCCGTGGAGCTACAGTCAAGCTTCGATTCTACAAATTTCTTTCTAATTTAGATGAATCTGTGATCGCCGCTATGATACCATGATGAAATCTGCACTAATTGAGGAGGAATTCACACATGCAACAGAAATGACGAAGAAAAAGAAGAGAGAAATGAGAGATACAGAGATCGTTTAGAAGAAGAGTTTAATTCAGCTCATTAGAAGGAGGTGGTCCCCTCTTATACAGTATTAACCGCCTTCTAACCAACTAATACAAGATTTACACTTTAGTCCTCTAAGTAGTTACTTAGTATACTTCTAGCTCACATAACAATACCTTCCCCCTCTTTCGCCCCAAATTAATCCAAAAAATTTTAAACTTACACTTTTCTCTCCTCTCTTTTCTCCTCGAAAGCATAGGCGGATCCAGGATTTAAAGTTTACGGGTTCCTATTATAATATCAAATTAATATACAATAATAACTGGGTTCACAGTTATATATTTATTGATATTTAATTAAAAAATTAATAAAAATATAAAGTCTATACAAAAATTACCGGATTCCCAAAAACCTAATAACTATACTCTACATTGGCCACTGCTAAAAAGGTACATAAGTCTTGAAGTGATGACCCATAGGGAATAACATCTTCATTCTTAATTAGTCCAAAGCTTTTCTTGAGCATAGCTCACGAATGGTTTTTTCCGTCTGGATGTACTAGAACTTCTTTACCTTCCTCCCTCTTCATATCTCCCAAATTATTTTTTCGTACATGAGACAATGCAATGCAAGTTCCATGGAATTATAAATACTTAGGTTGTTTGGTTCCAAAGAGGATTATTCATGAATTAATAATCATAGGATTATAATCCCGATCAGGATTATTATCCCATATGCACTGTGGGATAGTTGATATTAAGATTTTGATATAAATTTTATATTGGTACTAACTAATACCTATAATTAAATATGAGATAAATGCATGCTTATATTTTATTATGGGATTAGTCATGGTAACCAAACGATCCTTATAAGGTTTTCAACATGAAATTATTAGTGACCTACATATAGAAAAATTCAAGTTTACTACTGTACATAATTTAGGATCTGTTTGTCCATATTTTTTTTTTTAAATTTTATTCTTTTAAAATATGTTTATCCATGAATTTTGCAAGTTTTTATTTTTATCTTTTTGCAAAAATGAGTATCCCAAAAATCAAAAA